TTTTTTTTTTTTTGCAGGGGGGGTAGTAATTGGATATAAGAGTCTCATAGGCTTTGCTGCCTGGACTAGCTTCAAACCATGATCATTAGATCTCAGCCTTTTGAACAGCTAAAACTGGAAGTATGAACCATCAGCTCCCAGTGTTTTTTTTTTTTTGTCAGTCGTGGGGCCTGAACTCTGGGCCTGGGCGCTGTCCCTCAGCTCTTCAGCTCAAGGCGAGCGCTCTAACACTTGAGCTATAGCACCACTTCTGGGTTTTTTGTTTTTTGTTCTGTTCCTGGGGCTTGGACCCAGGGCCTGGGCACTGTCCTTGAACTATTGTGCTCAAGACTATTGCTCTACCACTTGAGCTACAGCCCCACTTTTGGCTTCTTTTAGTGGTTAATTGGAGATGATGATCTCTCAGGTTTGTCTGCCTGAGTTGCCTTTGAACTATGATCCTCAGATCTCAGCCTCCTGAAAGCAAATCTGTTTTTAAAAAACAAATCTCTGCTTTTAAAACTGAGGATATCTGAAATCCACAGGAAGAGCTAAGTGGTCTGCTTTCTTATGGATTTTGTAAAAATGTTTTAGATGACCCTTAGAAAGTAATGTCTTAGTGGGCTGGGAAGGTGGCTCAGTGGTAGAGCGCTTGCCTTGCATGCATGAGGCCCTGGGTTCAATTCCTCAGCACCACATAAGCAAAAAGAAAAAGCCAGAAGTGGTGCTGTGGCTCAAGTGGTAGAGCGCTAGCCTTGAGCTGAAGAGCCGAGGGACAGCGCCCAGGCCCAGAGTTCAGGCCCCACGACCGGACGCAAAAAAAAAAAAAAAAAAGTAATGTCTTAATATTCCTCCACACATACAGGATTTATAAAACCACATATTCAGGATAACTGTATAAAAATTGGTTTCTTACTATATTGTCTCTATTTGCACAAGCTCTGCCGCAGGAAATCCACAGAGAATTGTCCAAAGGTAAAACATCATTGCCATGACATTCTCATAACCATTTCTATGACATTTTTAGTGAATGTGTGTAATAAAAACTTCACAACATGGTGAGGGAGCAGAATCACTTAATGTGTTTTAGTTATATAGTGGTGGCTCTGGGAGAAAAAAAAAGCTATGTCAGAATACCCTAATGCCTGAGTAGTAGCTCAGGAGCCTGGAGAGTACAGAAAATAAAAAGAAAGCCCAACCACAAGGAAGAACACTGCTTCTTCTAACCTTCCTTTTAGTATGCCAGAGGCTTTTTAAGTCATGCCGGGTAGCCTCTTGTTCAGAGAGAATAGGTGACTCATTTTAACAGCTATCACTGAAAGGCTTCCTCCTCCTCTTCCTATTAATAGATACTAATTTCTTCTAGGTTAAAACTTTGCTTCTGTTAAAATGCTTGTAGCCATAAGAAGGAATGGCAGAGGAGCTGTTTTCATTCATTAATACCTGTGGTAGATTTATTTATCAAAATTGGCAATTAACCTAAAAGGCTGTGTCTGTAGAAAATGCAACAAGGATGAACAAGGTAGGCTTAGCAGTTCAAGGCACAAATAGCTTTAAGGTGATATGGCCATAGAGATGAGTGTACCGGGAGAGTAACGTGTAAATATGTCACAACTCTGCTGCTCACAGCATGCAATATGTCATGAAGCAAATGTGTTAGCATAGATGACAGCCAGAGCCCTGTGCATTCTGCATGTTGGAGAAAGCTTGACTATATACAGAAGTGTAGATGAATCCATTTTTTCATCATATGACAAAAACAAAATTTAAATATTTAAGAGCCCTTTTTAAAAAAAGAGAACAACTATTTCTGATTTCATGTATAAACACTTCAATATACCAGTTCCTTGTTTTTGCAAATTGTTTCTTTGGGGATACATTTTTCTAATTTAGTGTATTCTTCATCTGTAGAGGATTTTTGGTGAATTCATCTTTGGGCAGAGCTAAGGAATAAATAATACTGTAGAGGTTCAATATTCTCCAGGTTAACTCTTCTTTTTTCTCCCCTCAGAATGAGCTGGCAGATCCACATGTGAAATTCCATGTACTTTTCCTGTTCTTTGTGTCTGCAATGTTCTTCATCAGCATCCTCTCACTCTTCAGCTACCACTGCTGGCTAGTTGGAAAAAATAGGACAACAATAGGTAAGGAAGCTAGAAAAGCCAGGCACCTGTGGCTCACACCTATAATCCTAGCTACTCAGGAGGCTGAGATCTAAGGACCATGGGTTCAAAGCCAGTCTGGATAGGAAAATCCATGAAACTCTTATCTTCAGTTCACCACCAAAAAGCTAGAATTGACTTGGTAGACTGCTATCTGAGCAAAAACACTTAGGGACAGTGCATCAGCCCTGAGTTCAAGCCTCTACCAGTGCACACGCACGTGTGCACGCACGCAAACACACAAACAAATTACATTAAAAATAAATAGGCTTCACTACTATCCAATAACAGCACACTTAATTAGAAAATTAATCTCAACTATTTGAAATGAACTCGGGTATTTTGTAGTCTAGTTTGAAATCCACACTTAAGTTTATTCCATGGCCTTTTAATGGGTTTGCACACTTTGACAAACAGTTCACCACTTTCGTTACAGCCTCACCTCTTACACCATGGTCTGTGGCTGTTTCTCCACTGCTACAACCAGGGTTTTCTTCTATCACTTCTACCCTTCTTTATAACTGTCACCTACCAACCATGAAGTCATTTTCTCATAATTTAATAAGTTTCTGTAGTCAAACTAATGCCATTATTTCAAATGATTATTTCATTATTTCAAAAGAGCAAATCAGCCCCTTTGATTCTGGTGGCCCCTCATTCCCATAACATATTGATCGACTTAGAACTCAGAGCCTCCGGAGATGATTTTTTTTTTTTTGTTGGTGGGGCTTGTTTGCTCTCATGGCCTGGGTGCTGTTCCTGAGTTTTTGTCGTTCTTGTTCTTTTTGCTCAAGGATAGCAACCTCCTAGGTTTTTTCCTTCTCTTCTGCTTTCATTTCTCATTCTGTCCATTCTAGAGCTTTTGATAGTTTTTGAATAGCACCCATAAATATTCTACCACTAAATTTTCTCCCAGAATTCCTTACTTCCATTGAGATTGTTAAATCTACAGAGTGAAGGTTCACTGTTCTGCTGTAAGTCATGGGGTACTGGTCCTCCTCTTCATCTGTTTCCTACAGCATAAAAGTAGATTTGCATCTTTTTCTCCATTCCTTACCTTCTGAGTCCTTCAGAGAAAAACTAAAAGGACTCGTAAGTAGGCTCTCATCTTTTCCCCTTTACATTGTTCTTTTTCTCCTGTTCCTGTCACCTTCACTCTTAACTTCTGATGAACAGTGTCCTTTAGGGTTCATCTTAGAATTCTTCCATGTACCTTCCCATCTCTTCTGAGATCCTTTCCTGCAGTTTTCACTTTGCTTTCCTATGTTGCCAATCTCTTCTGAGGTCCTGGCTTCATCTTAACATTAGCTTATAAAACATGCTGAGTGCATTCTGGTTCTAAAGAAACACATTTCTTGTGAACCCTGTATCTCTTTCTAGAACTCACTGTGTATCATTTGACAACTGATAGCAAGATACTAGTCTATATAATCACTTTTTTGTTGTTCTTGGTCATGGGATTTTAAACTCGGGGCCTGGGAACTGTCCCTGATCTTTTTGTTTTTTTTCTCTCAAAGCTAGGGTTCTACCACTTTGAACCACAGCACCACTTTCAGTTTTCTGGTGTCTAACTGGAGATGAGTCTCACAGCCTTATCCTGCTTGGGTTGGCTTCAAATCATGATCTCAGATCTCAGCCTCATGAGTAGCTAGGATTACAGGGGTTAGTCACCAGCACCAGTCACTGATCAAAATGTGTCACTTCCTCCACTACCACCACCAACAGCCCTAAGGCATACATAGGTGTCTTGAACCTGTTCGGGCAAACATAGGTCCTCAGATCTCTGTGCTCTCAGGGAACCACTTAGCCCATGTAATTTTACTAGAAAGTAGGTTCTTGGGTAGGAATGTCATAAAAATTTTTGTTCGGATCCCAAATACCTAGTACTACCAGACACATAGGAAGCTCATAGTGAGTGAAGCTGAAAGAGGTATAATATCGGGCTGGGAAGGTGGCTCAGTGGTAGAGCACTTGCCTTGCATGCATGAGGCCCTGGGTTTGATTCCTCAACACCACATAAGCAAAAAGAAAAAAGCCAGAAGTGGCGCTGTGGCTCAAGCGGTAGAGTGCTAGCCTTGAGCTGAAGAGCTGAGGGACAGCACCCAGGCCCAGAGTTCAGGCCCCACAACCGGACCCAAAAATAAAAAAAAGAATTAGAATATCTTTTTCTTTTTGTGTGCAGGGGGAGACAGTACGAGGGTTTGAACTCAGAGACCTGTGTTTGCCAGCCAGCTGTGCTGGCTTTTTTTTTTTTTTTTTTTTTTTGCACTGGTTATTTAATAGGATCTTGCTTCCCATCTAAGTGAATCTAAGACCATAACACCTATTTTAGGCTTCCCATCCTATCTGGGATTACAGGAGCATGCCACCACACTCACCTTCTGCCCATTGAGATGGAGTCTTATGGAATTTTCTACCTGAGCTAGCCTGGAATTTCAATCCTCCCAATCTCAGCCTCCCAATATTTTAGGATGACAGGAGCGGCTGTTCCTAGCTTTCACTTAAGGAGTCTTTTGAACTTTTCTGCCTGGCCCATTTGCTGCTTCCCAAGTAGCTAGGATTATAGGCATGAGACACCAGCACCTGCCTGAAAGAGAATATCTTTAATAGAAAAACTGTGAGCCAGCTGGGCACCGGTGGCTCACACCTGTAATGCTAGCTACTCATGAGACTGAGATCTGAGGATCTTGGTTCAAAGCCAGCCTGGGAAGAAAGTCTGTGAGACTCTTATCTCCAATTAACCACTCAGAAAACCAGAAGTGGTGCTGTGGCTCAAGTGGTAGAGCGCTAGCCTTGAGCTGAAGAGCTGAGGGACAGCGCCCAGGCCCAGAGTTTAAGCCCCGGGACAGACTAAAAAACAAAAAAGTGAGCCAGTTACTCACATTTGTAATCCTAGCTACTCAGGAGTTTGTGATCTGAGGATCATGATTGAAAGCCAGCCCAGGTGGTCTCCTTGAGACTCTTTTATCTCCAATAAACTACCAAACATACAAAAAAAACAGCAGTGGAACTGTGGCACAAATGGTAGAGCACTAGCCTTGAACAAAAGAAGCACAAGGGCAGAGATGGGAGAGAGGGAATGAGAGGGAAAGAGGAAGCAGCTTACTCTAAGCAAAAGGAAAGAGTTGTGCATGATTTGGAAGAAATAGTTCATTGTCAAAGCTTATAGAATTCACAAACTTTATAGATCATGATAATGATAATTTGTCTTGTGAAGGTTAAAATGTGTTTGTGACTTTAAGTATCACTATCTCACAATACTGTGAAATTTATACAATCACTTAATCTCAATAAAAAATTATTTTAAAATTTTTTAAAAAGCACAGAGACAGTACCTAGGCCCTGACTTCAAGCCCAGGACTGGCAAACAAAAAGAGAGAGAGAGGGAGAGAGAGAACCAAGTAGTAATCGTTATACATACTTTATTTGATTTTCAGTAATATTAAATAGTTATTTTGGTATGTTATTTTAGATGGTTGATAAGATAAAAAATATACTTTTTCCCAAATTAGTTTCAGAAATCTGTTTTTTAAATAACATTTTTAGGGCTGAGAATGTGGCTTAGTGGTAGAGTGCTTGCCTAGCATGCATGAAGCCCTGGGTTTGATTTCCCAGTACCATATAAACAGAAAAGGCTGGAAGTGGCGCTGTGGCTCAAGTGGTAGATTGCAAAACTTGAGCACAGAGATAGATGCTGAAGGACAGTGCCCAGGCCATGAGTTCAAGCTCCAGGACTGGCAAAAAAAAAAATTGATACATAGTAATTGTATTTATTGGACACAGTGTGACATTTCAATATACTTACGTACCCATGTGTCAGCTCTGAGTAATTGTTATATCTGCCACCACAGATGTCTTACCATTTCTAGTTATTTTTGATTGTTGTAAAACTACTAGTCATTTTAAATTATATTCTAGCTTTTCATGTGAAAAATATAAGCGAGCAGCAAATTAATATTTTCCATCCTTTATTTTTGTTTTTGTTGTTTTTTTTTTTTTTGGTTTGGGGCTTGACCTTTTGGTCTGGGTATGGTCCCTCAGCTCTTCAGCTCAAGGCTAGCACTCTACCACTTGAGCCACAGCACCACTTCTGGTTTTCTGAGTGGTTAATTGGAGATAAGAGTCTCATGGACTTTCTGCCCTGGCTGGCTTTGAGCCTCGATTCTCAGATCTCAGCCTCATGAGTATCTAGGATTACAGGTATGAGCTACCAGTGCCTGGCTTCCATCCTTTATTTTTAAATAGATTGGTTATGTATACCTACGTATATATATGCACATGTGTGTGACTATATACGTATATGTATATATGTATATTCTTTTTTGTTGTTTTGAAACAGAATCATTCCGTTCACCTACATTTTCATATGGAACTGATGGAAATGGTTTCTCTCTTGGATATGGTAAAAATTGGAGACAAGTATTTGGTGATGAAAAGAAATATTGGCTACTTCCAGTATTTTCAAGGTAATTTTTAAAATATAGGTCTAAGAAATGAATGGTATATGTGGTGGTTTCTATATTGGGCTAAATGTCTTAATATTCAGAGACAATGACAAATGTTTTGGGTTTTTTTTGCGGGGAGTGGGGGTGGGGTTGGAAGTACTGGTATTTGAACTTGGGGCCTCTCCCTTGCTAGGCCAGCACTCTACCATTTGAGCGATGCCCTGAACCCTTTTTACTTTATTTTTCAGATAAGAGCTCCCATTTTTTGCTTAGACTGCCCTGGACTGCAATCCTCCTCTCTATGCCTCTGCATAGTTCTGATTACAGATGTGCACCACAGTGCTTGCCCAGGCTGGCCTTGTGCCACCATTCTCCCAATCTCCACCTCCCAAGTAGCTGAGGTTACAGGTGAGAGCCACCACACCTGTGACAGTTCTGTGGGCCTTTCAAATGAAAATTCTGAGTATCATCAACATATCTTTAGTGTTCCTTTTTAAAAATATTTTTTAGATATGTTAAATGAGAGTTTGAGCATATCATCATTGAGCAATCATCATAAAGATGATTCATAAAATATAATCCATTAAAAAAAATTTTTGTTTCATTGGCAGTACCACGGCTGAAAATTGGGGCCTTGTGCATTCTTGGCTTGCTTGCTCAGCCGGCACTCTTATCTCTTCAGCCAAGCCTCTAGCCCAGCTTTTTTGCTGGTTATTTTTTTGGACTTTGCTGTCCCAACTCGCCTCAAACCATGATCCTCCCTGATCTCAGCCTTCCTGAGTAGCTAGGATTACTGATATGAGCCACAGGTGGCCAGCTAAAAACTTTCTTTTGTTTCTGTCAATGAAAATTTGAAGTGAAAAAACATCACTAAAGTGTATTCTTATTGGTTGTAGCTTTAAAGAATCTATCAAGCTGGGTGCTGGTGGCTCACGCCTATAATCTTAGCTACTCAAGAAGCTGAGATCTGTGGATCATGGTTCAAAGCCAGCCCAGGCCGGAAAGTCCTGAGACTCTTATTTCCAATTAACCAGCAGAAAACCAGAAGTGGTGCTGTCACCTTGAGCTGAAGAGTTCAGGGACAGCACCCAGACCCAGAGTTCAAGCCCCACAACCCACAAAAAAAAAAAAAAAAGAATTTATCATAGAACAGTGCACGGGGTTGGTAGAATGGTGCCTGCCTAGCAAGCACAAGGCCCCAAATTCAATCCCCAGTACTGCCTCTCCTCCACGAACATAAAAGAACCGTGTATCTTTTTTTTTCTTACAGAGTAGTTAATACATAAAGGAATTTTAGCTCAGGTATAAAAGAATATGTTTCCTTTTATGCTTCAATTCCAGCCATCTAAGGCTGTTTTATCTCAGTTATTTTAGAGAAAGAAAAAAATATTTGAACGTGATGTGCCAGTCTTGGCAAAGAATTGTAGAGTTTTCCTTAATCTAATTGCCAACTTTTTGTCTATAAAGGCCTCATTTGGCCCTCACTTTTGAAGGACTTTTTTGCTTGTATAGGATTCTAGACATTACTTCCCTATCTCTGGCTTATATTTTTTCCATGAGAAGTTTGTGGGCACACCTATTTTCATATGTAATGTATCTTTTCTCGGCTGCTTTTAAAACTTTCTGCTTATCATGACTTTCATGAAATTTGATTTTGTATTTGTGTGTGTAGTGTAGCAGCCTTACTGCCACAGATCCACTTTTGGCAGATAATTGGAGATAAGTCTCACAGACTTTTCCTGCTCCAGTTCACTTTAAACTCTTTTCTTTCTGGTAGTTTTGTTTTTCCTTAGCTGAAGATCACATTTTCTGCTACCTTCCATGTCAGTAACTTCTGACTGGATAATGGACATGTCTACTGCTACTTTGCTGAGTTGCCTAGATTTTATTGTCTACACTTAAAGAATTCACTCTTTGTTTGAACAGCTATGTCTTATGCTCCAGCTTGGTCTTTTTAGGTGGGTTTTAAGCTTTATTATGTAGCATTTTTTTTTCCTAGGGCTTAATTTAGTCATGTAGTTAAAAGTTCAGCTTTTCAAACTATCCTTTCAAATCTTTTTTTTTTGGGTCCAGTCATGGGGCCTGAACTCTGGGCCTGGGCGCTGTCCCTCAGCTCTTCAGCTCAAGGCTAGAGCTCTACCACTTGAGCCACAGCGCCACTTCCA